TTTTCCAACGGCGGCTTGGCGATGCGGGGCTCTAGATTCAACGCAGTGTCGCGCTTCCTGGTTGATGCGTGCCATTCATCGTGGCATGGCCATGCATCCCGGGGCAAGACGGTCGAAGCCTGCGCGCGTAATACCGCCAGCCTCAAGAGTCAAACAATGCAAGAGTGCAGGGTGCCGGTTCGACTAAGCTCTGCCAGGTAGCTGGGCTTCTTCGTCGTGGCCGAGCAGAGCAAAGCGGGATCTCTGGCATTGACGATCAGGGCGCGTTCAACTGACTCAGTCTGTATTTTGGAACACATCACACAGGTGCGCTCTCTCCCTGTGCGCAGGGATGACGAGGTCTTGATCGTTCGCGGAAGCTCCAAGGGCCGTGAGGGAAGAGTTCAGCAAGTTTACAGGAAGAAGTGGGTCATCCACGTTGAGCGTGTGAGCCGCGAGAAGACCAACGGAACCACCGTTGCTCTGCCCATCAGCCCTTCCAATGTCGTTATCACCAAGCTGAAGATGGATAGAGAGTGAGTGTGGTGCGAAGCGAGGTGGGGCTGGTGTCACAGTTGAGGCGCAGATCGGAGTGGCGGCGCGAAAAAGGGAATGGGCTCGGATCGGCTTGGGACAGTGTCGGTGGGCGTACGCGAAGTCTAAGTTCTGAAATCTTTGATGCCTTGCCCAACAGCCGCCAGAACCTCATCAACCGCAAGAATGGCAACGCTGGCAGTGCTCCCACCAAGAAGGAGGAGGCATAAACCGTCTCGCGAGTCTCTTTGACCAACTGCTTCCACTCCGGCTGCCGACTATCGATCACTTGCCCCGTCCATCTCGCAACACTCTCACCGAGGGGTTCGAACGAGCTCCCTCTCTCGTCAAGTACACATGCTCATCACCAGCATGCTCCATTGAAGCGGCTGGACGCTCTTTGAAAAGTGTTCGGTCCAAAATTCACACTTGAAATGTCATGTAACACAAGCCAAACAGACCAAGAACGCCATCATTGTGTGATTCTTTTGAGGCGAGGCAAATCAACTGGGTCGAACAAGCATGCAGGCGGCGCTCCGCTCTTCACTTTTATGCACGGTTGAGGAGAGTCTTTGGCGGTGATGATGCTGGCACAACAATCGACTGACGGCCTCTGCGACACGACTGCTGGGTGATGATGCTATGCTAGAGGCGTTGATGACCGAAAAGCGAATCAAAGCGGATTGACACCACGCTCCAGCTGATGCAATAGGACATGACAGCACAGGGGGGGGTGTGCAAATGCAAACGAAAGTGATGGTGCGTTTGCGCTCAGGGTGGACGCGCGCGCACTTCAGTTTCGGCAATGTGAATTGTCCCTCGCGATGGAGGTGCGGTGCGGTGCGGTGCGTACCTCTGCCCGCCCGGGCTTGCCCAAGACCGTCTGCTTCATGATGATCCCCCAACAATTTTTTCGTCGAGTA